CATTCTTCATACTTATTCAGTGCTTGGCTGCTGTTGAGACCGTGCTTATTGCTTCCAGACTATATAAACTTACTTTATTTTTCTTCAGACAGACCGCTTCTTTTTTTTCGAATTCGGTATCTCAACCATCTTGCATGGTGCTTGATTCTCTCCATCCTTTCTGTTACGCCTGCAAAAGGGTTTAGAGGAGCTTGTCATGTTCTGCACCCCTCCCATTGTCATCTGGCCAAGCCATACATATTTCTCTTTTCATCCCTCTCTCATAAGTCAGTCTCTCCTGCAACCCAGTGACTGTGGGTAGTGGCTGGGGTTTTCTTGTCATGCTTCACTTCAGCATTTTTTCCTGGATGGAGATATTATTTATTGCCACTGCTCACCAGCTATATTAGAAGCTGAACATCCCGCAGATTCACCACATAATTTCTCCAAATGCTAATGGGAGCCACTGTTGCCAGTTAACATTAACTGAAAGTGGCCAGTTCGCCAGCAGAGCCTAGCTGGGATCACAAATCATGCCCAACCTACAGAGTGTAACAGGCTCTTCTCTGGAGATCTAGCACTGAAGGAGTGTAACGGGCACACTGAATCACTCCTCCCACCAAGCACCAAGTCAAGATTGATGATAATTACTGGTCGTGTGGTAGTGCAGGGGGAGCTTGCGCTACAGCTGCTGACAACTGAGCTGGGAATAGCTCAAGAATTCATTTCCAAGGGCTGTGAGCCGTTCCTTCGTTTTCACTCGTGCACTACAACGAATCCTTTGAAACACTGGATGGGAATAGGCGAGAGAGGGGAAGAGAGGGTATTTGTAGGGCAGAGGTCTTGTTAAGAGTGTGACCATCAAATAGGATCAGATGAAAGATGAACATACTCTCTGATTTCCTTTTTCTTCCCTATGCTGTTTTGATCTGCATCTGTGGAAAAGCCGACTGAAAGACAGTGGGTGATGTTGTGGTCCCAATTGGAGGCTTGTCGCACCTTCAGTGAGGCCAGGATTTCCCCCAGGGAGACTGGATGGTCATTCAGCTGCCAGGAATGAGCCCCAAAGCACAGGCCCCACTGCCAAAAAAAAGAGGCCTGTTCCCAGTTCTTCTGAGCTTCCCTGCTGGAGTTGGAGTGTCCCATCATTCTTGACAGATGTGGTTTATCAAGTGAGGTGGCTGATGCAAAGGGAGGCATACTGCTGTCATTTGGACGGACTCCACAGAAGCTTTTGTGAGATGCAGACGTGATGATACCCATCAGAGTGAATGGCTATAGTCCCATCCTGAAGTCACAAAGACCGCTCCCACCATTGTTACCAGATTTGCCCATCCTCTTGGGGTGCGCTCATTTATTAGAGTTACGTTTCTGGGGTCTCTAATTCTATCAATGGGCTGCTTGTGTCTCTTGTGTGTTTCTATATGGAGCTCTAGCTCTCCTTTCTGCAAGTCCTCACCCTCCAGTGGAGCTACCTTGCAGGGCTTAGTTTCAATGGAGCTGGGTTCCTCCAGCTACCAAATCGGTCGAACACACACACACAGAGCATGTCTGAGCTGGCTGGGTCAATCAGCATTTACAGGCTGACACCCCCATAGGCCACAGCTCTAGCATAGCAGGGCAACAATAAAACCCAGTCAGACCCATGCACACAGGTTTCATAGACATTAGGGTGGAAGGGACCTCTGGAGATCATCGAGTCCAGCCCCCTTCCAAGTTAACAGACTACATCTGAGTGGGCAGGGTTAATCAGCACTTCCAAGCTGACACCCTCATAGGCCCCAGACTCAGAACCCCCCCAATCTCTTGTCACAATTGTCCTGGTAGTAACTCCCTTGATGAGCAAACCCCACAGGATTTGGGGGCTTTACAGGGATCTTTGGCTTAGGTTAAATAAGCATTGCTGCAGAGCAAATGGGGAGGTTGGGGAGAAGGAGAAGTAAATGAGGTTCAGAGAGAGTAAGGCAACCAGTTTGACCATCAAAGTTATTTTATTGCCAGGTATAGGAAACTTATGATGATAGTAGTAGTAATAGCCATACAAGGAAAAACAAACACAACAGTTACAGTGTTACACAGTTTCAGTTGGGTATTTGGGGAAGTCATGGGGGACCTGTACCTCCTGGACATCTGCTGCGTAGAGCAGTCAGCCAGGTCTGACCACTCACGTAGGTTTTTAGACAGAGTGCAGGACCTCCATCTAACCCAGGAGGTGCACAGCCCCACCAGGGGAGATGCCTTGTTGGACCTAGTGCTGGCCACGGGTGATGACCTGGTGAGGGGGCTGTGGGTGCTCGACCACCTGGGCGACAGCAATCATCGCCTGCTGGCATTCACCATCCAGCGCAAGGCGGCAAAGGCCTGCAGCAAGGCAGCAGCCCTAG